ATTGATGACAGATTTAAATGATGATGCTTTGAATACATTGGGTTAAATGGGTTATGTTATATGCTGTATTGAAAACTTAAACAGACCATTCTAGCAAATTGACTAAGTGAAAGCAATTGAAAAACAGCAGATACAAGATTATCCTAAGCTTCATGCCATTTCTATTTTATGCTTGAGATAGGGTCTTATGTGTAGCTCTGGCTTGCCTCGAAATCATAGACCTCTGCCTGCTCTGCCTGTGAGTACTAGGATTAAAGGAGTGTGCCAAATCTTAAAGGTTTCTAGAGGTCCTGCACCACTAGGAAGCAGGCATTGGCAACACGTGACCTATACTATATAACAGAGGTAGAGGAGCAGGACTTGAGCTTATGTGACAGGGGTCACAGATGCATGAGTGGAGAGTGGACTTGGTGAATGTGTGACAGGCTGCTTTGGATCCTGAGTGGCACTGGGCTGACTGGGTATTTTCCTGTGCTGTTCACAGCCTTCTCTGCTTAGGGCCCAAAGGGCCTGAGTATGTTAATAGTCTCATGTAGCCCAGGCTGGCCTGGAACTACAGCTGCTAAAGATGACCTTGAACTCCCGATCCTTCTTCTTTATCTCTTAAGTGCTGGGATTACAGATATGTGACACCACACTTGGATCATAGTCCCCAGTTTGGGTTGTTGACATTGAGTTGGGTCTCCAAGGATCATGTGATCATGGAAGACAGATGCTGTTCCTTTGTAAAGCCCTGAACCACTCAAGGGGACCCAAGGTCCCAGTCTTCACACTGTGGTCCTGTGCTTCCTCTTTCTCCTCCCGCTCTCTTTCCTTACCCACTTCCTCACCTCTTGGATCTCTTGCTGATAGACTAATACCTTCCATAAAGTCTGGGCTCATGTAGTCAGAACTAGACACCCGCTTTGATAAATCTAACACAAAATGAAGGTGTGGGACACCTTGTTCAAAAATGACTAGCAGGGGCTGGAGGGATTCCTTAGTGATTAAGAGCACTGGCAGTTCTTGCAAAGGACCTGGGTTCAGTTCCCATCACCCACATGATGGTTAACAACCATCTGTAACTCCAGTTCTTGGGGATCCTATGTCCTCTTCTGGCCTCTGCCAGCATTGCACACATGAGTGCACTTACACACATGCAGGGAAGATGTTCATACACATAAAGTAATAAATATATATATTTTAAAAAAATATTCTATTCATTATTTTTATTTTATGTGTATGAGTGTATTGCCTGCATGTAGGTAAGTATACCAGTGTTGTGCAATGCCTGTGGAGGACAGAAGAGGCCGTCGGATCCCCTGGAACTGGACTTATGGACAGTTGTTAGCTGCCATGTGGGTGCTGGGTCTTCTGCAAGAACAACCAGTGTTCTTAACTGCTGAGCCATTTCTGCAGCCCCATAAATATATTTTTTTTAATTATTAGGCATTTCTGCCAAATGTGAGCCTATTCTGGGCTCCTGGATGCCAGTTGTGTCCATAGTCAGGCAGAGATAAAATTAGAAACCTGCTCCCTTTGCTTGAAACCAGCAGCAGGCTGCGCTCAACTGGATGGCCAGCTGTCCATTAGACTTGATCAAATTAGTCAGGGGCCTATGAGGTGGCTCAGAAGGTAAAGGTGCTTGCTGCCAAGACTGATGACCCGCGTTCAATCCCCGGGACCTAAATGATGGAAAGATAAAACCAACTCCTGAAAGTTGTTCTCAGACCTCCATACAATCACCCTGCCCCCCACACAAATAAATAAATGTAACTAAAAATAAATATAAACGCAGGGCATGGTGGCGCACACCTTTAATCCCAGCACTCAAGAGGCAGGGGCAGGCAGATCTCTGTGAGTTTGAGGCCAGCCTGGTCTACATGGCAAATTCCGGGCCAGCCCTGGGATACAGGGAGAGCCTGTCTCAAAAAGCTTTTTTATTACTTTACTTATTTTGGACATGCGGAAATGTACCATGGCACATGTGTGGAGGTCAGAGGACAACTCTGTGGAGTCAGTTCTTCAATCTTTAGGTTGGATCCTGGGGGCTGAACCTAGGTCATCAGGTTGGCAGCTAACACCTTTACCCACTGAGCCATCTCACTGGCCCCACTGTGTGTGAATTCTTGTTTTAACTGGGTTTCCCTTTAGTTTTTCTGCTTCCTCAGCCTTTACAGGTCTTTTAACCCTTACTATTTCGTCTGTTTTTGTGATGTGAACTGAGCACCTACTATGTGCCGGTCACAGTCAAACAAAGATGATCCACCCCTGCCTTTGAGGAGTCACATCTCCTAGGTGATTCTAAATCCAGTCTAGTTGACAATGAGGCCCATTTGCACATGAATATAGGTGGCACTATCCCGTGGGCTGAGGTCTCACACCTTATAAAAAGAAGTGTTTCAAGCTGAGCACCAGCATTCATCTCTCTCTGCCTCCTAACTGTGGATGCGCTATGACCCGCAGTCCCACACTGCTGCAGCCATGCCTCCCCCTGCCATGGTGGTCTGTACCCATAAACCTTGAGCCTAAATAAATCCTTAAGTTGCTTTATCAGGTATTTCGTCTCAGCAACAAGAAAAATAACTGCCACAATCCACTATGGCACATGAGGAGGACGATGAGGGGTCCTAAGAACCTGGAACCAGGTCAGAGAGCGCTGTCTCAAACAGGAGCCCTGGGGTGAATATCAAACTATGACCTACCTCTCTACCTTTGCATTTGTGTGCGTGCGTGTGTGTGTGTGTGTGTGTGTGTGTGTGTGTGTCCGTGATGTGTGTGAGCATGTATGTGGAGGTCAGAGGACAATTTTGTAGAGTTGGTTCTCTCCATCCACCTTGATGTGAGTTCTGAGGCTTGAACTCAGGTTTGCTAGACTTGTGCGGCAAGCACCTTTTCCTGCTGCTTACTTTACTGTGCCTCTAAAACAAATATTTATTTGGGGCCTGCAGAGATGGCTCAGAGGTTAAGAGCACTGACTGCTCTTGCAGAGGACTGGGTTTGATTCCCAGCACCCACATGGCAGCTAAGAACCGTCCTTAACTCCAGTTCCAGGGGAATCCGAAGCCCTCCTCTGACCTCCGCGGCATTTCACGACACGGGTGCACTCACATAGATGCAGGCAATACACTCATACACATAAAATAAAAATAAATAAAATATTTTTAAAAATATTTAATTGTATGTTATGAGTGTTTTGCTTGCATGTATTTAAGTACTCCCACATGTGCAATGCCTACAGAGGCCTGAAGAGGGCACTAGATCCCCTGGAACTGGAGTTATAGAGGATTGTGAGCCGCCACATGGGTGCTGGGAACCAAACCACTGTCTTAACCACTGAGCCAGTTCTCCAGCCCTTATTTTATTTTTGAGACAGGGTCTCAGGTAGTCCTATCTGGGCTAGAACTCACCATGTAGACCAGGCTGGCCTTAAACTCATAGAAATCTGCCTGCCTCTGCCTCCTGAGGGTTGGGATTAACCCAACCCTTTTTTATTAAGTGGTTTTTTTTTTTTTTCTTCTTTTTGGTCTTTTTGAGACAGGGTCTCCCTGTAGCCCAAGCTGTCCTGGAACTTACAATGTAGACCACACTGGCCTTGACCTCACAGAGATCCGCCTGCCTCTGCCTCCTGAGTGCTGGGATTAAAGCATGCACCACCATGCCCAGCTTAAGTGTTTTTTTAAAAAATTTTATTTATTTTATTCTTTTTGAGACAGGGTCTCTTTGTAGCCCCAGCTGTCCTGGAACTTGCTATGTAGACCAGGCTGGCCTCAAACTCACAAAGATCCACCTGCCTCTGCCTCCCGAATGCTGGGATTAAAGGTGTGAACCACCACGCCCGGCTGCAGCCCCTTATTTTTAAGTGTTCTTAACCTCTGAACCATCTCTCTAGCCCCCACTGTACCTTTTTAATACACCGATTTGTGACAAGCTGCCTCTGGCCCTGCCACCCACCTTGTCTGATCTGTGGAGGGCTGTGGATTGTGAACAGTTCAAATAGGAAAGGTCACTGTGCTGTCAGCAGACAGTCCCTAGCAGCTCTTAGAGAGGTAAACTGTGTAGGAGGGATGATGGAAGATTTGGTCATCACCCCCGAGCCCTTGGAGAGTCACATTCAAAGTCTTCCAAGTTCTAAGCTTCTGGAAAATGACAGGTGCAATTTCCCTCTGAAACAGAACTTTCTACCTCTTCCCAGTGCTGTGATGCCAAACACTGACTTAATCTGACTCCAACTCGGGAAACAAGAAAATTTGGCTAAGGCTGAACACTGGGTGAAAATCTGAATCTCTTGGAAAATCTAATTAGAATTCTGGTGAAAATTGGGATCAAGGACATGGGAACAGCCCAAAGTCTGGGCTGGATGTGGATCAGATCTGAGGTCAGAGGGGTGCTGTGCATACCGGGGACACTCCCCATTTATGACTTCTGGGGAACTGGACCAGATCCCACTTGTGCAGTGTTATTCCTACAAATGCAAATGACAGGCAAATGTCCTGTGTGCTGCCTGAGTCTGGTCTTACCCTTTGCACATCAGCTGTTCTACCATTGCAAAGCCCACTGTGGGCAAGAAGTCCTCCTGTAGAGACCCTGCCCACCCCTGTGTCTCACCCAAGGAGAAACAAGCTTTCCTCCCGTGAGGCTAAAAGGAGTGACTTGCTTTCTAGGCCAGTGAAGCAGAGTCAAGTGGGGCTGTTCCCAGGGAAGCCCTGGGGTAGAGATGTCACCGTGACTGTGCAAAGCCCCATCTCAGGTGGAACCAGAGCACACAGAGCCATTCAAGGGGCAGATTGAGGATAAGGAAGGAGAGCAAAAGAAGAGCTTTTATTGCTGTGGACATCAGGCTGTCCTTGGGCCCCTGGCAGGTGGCTTCCCCTTTCTGTCCATCTGGAATGCAAATTGTTAGGTTTTCTTCTGAGCATCCCTAGCTCTGGCTTGGGAGTGGCTCTCCAGCAAAGTCTACCCTTAGTAGAAACCCCTGGACCGGGGTGCTCCTGGGAACCTCTGGCTGTCCCACAGGCTCTCTTAGATGGTTTCCTTGAGGGGAGAAGCCCCCAGCTGCTGAAGAGAAATTTCCTCGCTCTTCTCTTCTGCGTCTTTTTGGGAAGGGCCTTCTTTGACTCTGTTCAAAGGGATATGGAAACTGGTTATCTTCTTGTTCTGTTGTCGCCTGACTTGTACATTTCTCCTTCTCCTAGCAGGCTTCAGTTTAGAAAAACTTCAAAGTTTAAACCATTTTTACAGTTTCTCTCTCTCTCTCTCTCTCTCTCTCTCTCTCTCTCTCTCTGTTTGGTTTTGAGACAGGGTTTCCCTGTAGCCCCAGTTGGCCTGGAACTCGATGTGTAGACCAGGCTGGCCTTGAAATCACAGAGATCTGCCTGCCTCTGCCTCCCAAGTGCTGGGATTAAAGTTCTGCACCACCATGCCTGACATGTCTCTTATTTATTGGAAGGTAATGTGCACATGTGGAGAGGTCAGTTCTCTCCTTCTAGTAAGTTCCAGTACCAAACCCCAGTGATCAGGCTTGCTGGCAAGCACCTTCACCTGCTGATCTATCTTGCTGGACTCTCTACCTTATTTTTTCTTAACTTTTATTTTATGTGTAATGAGTGTTTTGCCTGCATGTATGTGAGTGCAATGCCCACGGAGGACAGAAGGGGTGCTGGATCCTCTGGAACTGGAGTTACGGATAGATGTTAGGCACCATGTTAACTGGGATTTGAACCTGGGTCTTCTGCAAGAGCAGCCAGTGCTCTTAACCACTGAGCCATCTCTCCAGCCCCATCAACCTTATTTTTAAAAAGATAGGGTCTGTCACTGAACCTGGAGCTCACTGGCTGACTACTGGCCAACACATCCCAGGGATCCTCCTGTCTCCATCTCCCCAGCACTGGGATTACAGAAACATGCCGCCTCATTCCATGCTTTCCCATGGGTTCTAGGAGATCAAACCCAGGTCCTAATGCTTGCTCAGAAAGCACGTCGCCATCTCCCCATTCCATAAAATGCTGTATTTGAACATGATCAGACAGCCATTCCTTTTCTGAGTTACTGAGCTTAGAACCCTAACTTGAATAAAAGTTGACCAGTACTGCTCTAGTGTCCCAGCCTCAAACGCCCAGCCCCTAGGCTGACCTGTTCAGACTGAGGTTGAATAACAGAAAGATCTGTTCAAAACGTAATGACTCGGCAGGTAAAAAGGTACCGAGTTTGGTGACCTGGGTTAGATCTCTGGAGCCCACGTAAAGGTGGAAGGAGAGGACTGATTCCACAAAAGTTGTCCTCTGGGGCCACAGAGATGGCTCAACAGGTAAAGGCACTTACTGCCAAGCCTGGAGTCCTGAGTTAGATGTCCCTGTCCCACATGGAGGAAGGAGAGAACTGACTCCCATAAGACGTCCGTGGACCTCTACACATGCCCTGTGGCAAGGACACATGATGAATAAATGAATGAATGAACGAGTAAATGTAGTATTAAAAGGTTGTCCTCTGATGTCCACACATGTGGTATGGACCCACGTTTGGACCTCCAGAACCATATAAAGCAGCAGTATGTGTCTATAATCCCAGCACTCCTACAGCAAGATGAACAGTGGAAATGGGAATCCCTGGACACTTGCAGGCCAGCTAGCCTGGCGTACTCAGTGAGAAACAAGAGACCCTGCCGCCAGCAAGACAGAAGGTGAGCACTGGCAGAGTTGTCCTGTGACTTCCACGTGTACATGTGTGGTTGTACTCGTGCAGGAACACACAAAGATTTTAAAAACTGGAATTCAGGTGGGTGTGGTGGCTCATGCCTGTAATTCCGGCACCCAGGAGGTTGAGGCTGGAGGATTATTACCAATTTAAGTCCAGTCTGGGCTACAGTGTCTCAAGAAAACAGAACAAAAGCCAGGTGTGGTATCAAACACCTATGATCTCAGCCCTCAGGAGGTAGAGGCAGGAGGATTAGATAGATGTTCAAGACCAGCCTAGGCTTATGTGAGATCTTGTTTCAAAAAGAAAAATAGAAGTTATTCAGGGCTGGGAATGAAAGTGTACCTCCCTAGTATGCCAGAGGCCTCAGATTTGATTTCCAGTTATCAAAACCAAAAAACCCAAAGGACCCAAGACAGGGATGGAGTAAGTGCACTGGCTACTGATTTATAATGTGTAGTCAGGGTCTGTGTCTCCCCTGAGGCACCCCCACCCACTGGTCTGCACCATTTATTGAAAAGATAAATGTTGGCCGGGCATGGTGGTGGCTCAAGCCTTTAATTCCAGCACTCAGGAGGCAGAGGTAGGTGGACCTCTGTGAGTTCAAGGCCAGCCTGGTCTACATAGTGAGTTCTAGGACAGCTGGGGCTACAGGGAGACCCTGTCTCAAAAAAACCAAAAAAAAAAAAAAAAAAAAGAAAAAGAAAAGATAAATGTCTTTTTGCTGGGTGTGGTGGTACATGTGACGGGCTACATAGTAAGACCCTGTCTCAGAAAATAATAAATAAATAAAAAGGAAAATATATTTTTGTTGTTATTGAAAAAAGGTCTCAAGCATCTGAGGGTGATCTTGAACCTCTGATCCTAGTGCTGAAATTACAGGCATCTATCCCATCACTACACCTGGTTTATCCAGTAACTGGGGAATTGAACTCTGGGCTTTGTGCATGCTAGGTAAGCACTCGACTAACCAGGCTACAGTATTTGTTTGTCGTTTGTTTGTTTTTTGACAGGGTCTCCCTAGTCTCAGCCTACCTGGAACTCACTATGTAGACCAGGCTGGCCTCCATCTCACAGAGATCCGCCTGCCTCTGCCTCCGCACCATCACGACCTGTGTTTTTTTTTTTTTGTTTTTTTTTTTGAGATGGGGCTCCTGTAACCCAGGCTGGCCTTGAACTCTTGACCCTCCAGCCTCTCCCTCTCAAGTGCTAGGATTATAGGCATAGGCATAGGGTATGGAAAGCATGCCTGTGGTCTGTACCTGGTCTACCTTGTTATACAGCCTGGTGACCAATAGATAGGAAAAAAATCAATAAACATGTGCCTTGACTTCCCTGAGAACTATCCCATTTGTCTCAAAGATCTGTGATACAGAGACGGAATGCCTGGGGGAGCTTAGCAGGGTGCATGCAGTACTCTAGCCTCCCTGCTGGGTGCCTGTGCTCTCCGCCTGTTCTCTCGGTTACCCTTTGCCTTATGTGAGTGTACTTTTACAGTCTTACTGGTCTTTCAATGATTTAAAAAAAAAAATCCTGTGGAATGAGAGAACCACTGAGAACCTCACTGAGCCCAAGAAAAAGAACTAAACCCACCGTGAATCCCAGGGTGGTGGCAGCAGCCTGTGAACCCAGCATGGGAGGCTGAGGCAGAAAGATCAGAGTTCAAGGCCTCCCTGGGCAAAGTGGTGAGACCTGTTGTTAAGCCGCGGTAGAGGAAGGCCTTGCTGGTGTTTAGTGCACAGCCATTGAGGATCTCAGCTGTTTCCCTTGTTTCTGGTTAACTGTGCCCCATTTGTTCCCGCACCTGCGGTACCCAAGGCCGCTCACCTCATCTCCATCGCGGCAATGGTCTCCACCAGTGGCATGTTTCGAGTCTCCGTCAGGAAGCAGGTGACAGCCATCCCAGCCAAGACTGAAATGGCACCAAAGACCACGGGTGGCAGAACAGGGCTGATTTCTCCCAGTGTGGCGACCAGGGGCGCTGCCAAGCCCCCAAGGCGGGCATTGACGGAGGCAAAACCCATTCCCATCTGCCTGTGTGTGGGAGGTGCAGACCTGTCAGTGGCCGGGCCGGAACCTCCCAGAGCGCCAGACCCCTTGAGGTGTTAGAGGGTAGAGTGGGCCTCGCCTGTGCACTGCCTCCCATGCCCACCTGATCTCTGTAGGGTACAGCTCTCCTGTGAACAGGTACACACAGATGAAGGAGCTGGCCAAGCAGCCTTTGCCCAGCGCTGCCTGCACAGTCCGAAGGGTCTGCAAGTCTAGAGAGACAAAAGAAGGAGGTGGAGCTGTGGGGGCAGCAGGGGGGGAGGAGGGGTGTGGTGGGAGGCTGGGGGACCTCGGGATGGGGGAGAGGACCGGGGGCAAAGGTTGGGTGGGGCAAAAGAAGAGGTAGAGAGAAAATCATGGGTCCAGGGATTGCATAGGGGAAGGTAACAGTTTTCTTTTTTCTTTTTTTTTTTTTTGGTCTTATTTTTTTTTTAATTTTATTTATTTAAATTTTATTTATTATTTTATGTGTATGCGTGTATTGCTTGCATGTAGGTAAGTGCACCCGTATTGTGCAATGCCCAGGGAGGTCAGAAGAAGCTGTCGGATCCCCTGGACTGGAGTTACACATAGTAGTTAGCTGCCATGTGGGTGCTGGGATTCAAACCTGGGTCTTCTGCAAGAACAGTCAGTGTTCTTAACCACTGAGCCATCTCTCCAGCCCCTTCTTTTTGTCTTTTTGAGATAGGGTCTCCCTATAGCCCCAGCTGGCTTGGAACTCACTATGTAGATCAGGCTGGCCTTGAACTCACAGAGATCCACCTACCTCTGCCTCCCTAGTGCTTGGACTAAAGCCATGCACCACCATGCCTATAACAAGTTTGCTACCCCCTGACTTCCTGCCTGAAACCCAGAAGTCCCCAAATGCCCTGTCTCTGACTTCCACTCCCGTCCTCACTGATTTCCATCTATCACCAAGTCTTGCTGGGAGACAGGACAAACTTAGAGTCAGGCTTGGGTTCAAACTCTAGCTCTGACCCAACTGCTGGATGACTTCCCATTTCTGAGCCTCTTTGTCCTGTCAGTAGGAGAAATCCCAGCACCTGTTTTGCATGGTTGTCCTAAGGTGGATGGGATGAGTCAGTGCAAAGTGCTTGTTGCTCAGTAAGCGTTTTCTATTACTGTCATCATTTACATGCTTGCTCTGCTCCTATTTATAAATGGCAAAGCTGAGAGTCAAATGTCCCACATAGGGCAACGGTCAAATAAATTACAGTATCCTTGGGTTGGTGTTAGCTGGGCTGCACACTGACACCAGGTGAGGAGAGATTCTAAACCACACAGACCCCTTCCCTTCATGGATTATACCAAAAGCTTTTGGGTGTGGTGGCTTAAGTTTATTTGCGTTTTTTTTTTTTTTTTTTTTTTTTTTTTTTTTTTTTTTTTTTGGTCTTTTTGAGACAGGGTCTCCCTGTAGCCCCACCTGTCCTGGAACTCACTATGTAGACCAGGCTGGCCTTGAACTCACAGAGATCCGCCTGCCTCTGCCTCCCATGTGCTGGGATTAAAGGCATGTGCCACCACACCCGGCTCTAATTAGTATTTTTAAAAAATTTTATGTGTATGAGTGTTTTGCCTGCATGTAAGTGCATGCACTGGTGTCATGAAATGGGTATTTAAAAAAATATTTATTTTTACTTCATGTGTATGAGTGTATTTTTACTTCATGAGTGTCATGCATTGCATGTGGAGAGCAGAAGATGTTGAATTCACTGGAGCTAGAGTTATGTACAGCTGTTAGCCTCCATGTGGGTGTTGGGAATCGAACCCAGATCCTCTTACAAGAGCAGCCAGTGCTTTTAACCTCTGAGCCATCTCTCCAGCCCCAAAATGGGTATTTTTTTAAAGTCTCTAGAAGATTCTCTTTTTAAATTATTATTTATTTATTTATTTATTTATTTATTTATTATTTATCTATCTATCTCTGTGGTAAGTGTATATTCATGTGTGGGTGTGTATACTACGGTGTGCATGTGGAAGTCAGAAGACAGCTTGCAGAAGACTGTGTAGGTCCTGGGGATCTAACTCAGGTTGTCAGGCTTGGTGGTAAGCACTTTTACCAGTTGAGTCACCTCCATGGCCCAGAAAATTCTAATATGCAGCCAGAACTAGAAAGCATTGATCTCAATAAAATATTACAAATCATAAAAAATCAGGTTCATAGCTGGGTGTGGTGGTGTATGCCTTTAATTCCAGTACTGGGAGGTAGAGGTAGGCAGATCTCTGTGAGTTCCAGGCCAGCTGGGGCTACCCACATGGTGGTTAACAATCATTGGTGACTCCAGTTCCAGGGAATTTGATGCCCTCTTCTGGCCTCTTCAGGCATTGCATGCATTGGTGGACATGCATGCAGACAAAACACTCACACATAATAAAAAAAAAATTAAAAAGAAACCCTGTCACATTCTCTCTCTCTCTCTCTCTCTCTCTCTCTCTCTCTCTCTCTCCCTCACACAGGCACACACCTAGAGAAGTCAGTGTGCCTGCCGCCTTGGTGCCACAGCTGGGGTCACATAGTTCAGCACGTGCTCTGGGTCTCTGACATTTGGCTCTGGCTTCTTTCCAGAATCACTGGACAGTCTTTAAGATGTGGGGTGTTGGACCCACTGCTTAACTGTCTCTTATTGCTCAGCACCTGGCCATTGGGTATTCTCAGAGGGTGCCAGGAGGGTCATTTCAGCCAGGCACTGTTCCAAGGTTGGCCAGGGGGGCGTTTGAACCCTGAGTTCTCAACTCTTGAATTGATGCCTGCCTGAGGAGCCACATGTCCTGGGCATGTACAAGTCTGCCAAGCACTCTAGCCCTCCAGTAGCTTGCCATGTCTGATGTCTCTAACAAGACTGCCTTTGTAGCCCTCCAACTACTAACACTGGGTAAGAAGTACCTAATTAAAGCTACTGATACGAGGCCAGGCGTGGTGGAGCTTGCCTTTAATCCCAGGCAGATCTCTGTGAGATGTAGGCCAGCCTGGTCTACATAGCCAGTTCTAGGCCAGCTGGGGCTACAGGGAGATCTTGTCTCAAAATGAAACAAAAAACAAAACAGAACAAAAAAAATGAATCCAGTAAGGGCTGCACAGTGAGACCAACCAACAAACAAAAACATGGATAAAGTGGCAGTCCTTTCCTTTCCAGATCCAGAAAATCCCTTTGGCGCCTTGATCCCCAGTGCTGTTTGCTGTGATCAGACCACAGTGATTCCCACGCTTCTGAACCTGCGCCTGCGTCCCGCCACTTGGCAGCAGAGACTGCTCACCTTCAGGTACAAACAAATTGGCAATGACCATGAGCCCGGCCAGGATGAGGAAGGAGGCCACTGTGACCCTCCGGCCCACGTAAATCATGGTGGTGGTGGCGACCAGCATCGCTGGGATGTCGATGATCCCAAACAGGGCTTGTACCAGGTAGATGCTGAGCCGGAACTTCTGCAGGTCCATGGCCAGGCCGTAGTAAGCCACGGAGTTGGAGAACCTGGGGGAGGGGACAGAATGACCCTGTTTCACCTCATTGCTCCAGGCAGGACTAGAGGATGTGTGAACCAGGATGCCCCCACCCCTAGCCCTGGGGGCGTTCAATCCCCTGAGCTTTCACAGCAGCCCCTGTTTGTCCCCTAAGCCTCTGAGTTTGGAACCTAGCTGTCCTCCATTGCATCCTTTCCCCACCACACTCCCCTGAGCTCAGGCCCTGGGCCCTGGTTATGTTGAGTTTTCCCTGTCAGTATAACTTAAGCACTGGAATTAACGATGAAAATTAAAACAGGGCCAGGCATGGTGGCAGACACCTTTAGTCCCAGCACTCAGGAGGCAGAGGCAGGCGGGTCTCTGAGAGTTCAAGGCCAGCCTGGTCTACATAGTGAGTTCCAGGTCAGCTGGAGCTACAGGAAGACCCTGTCTCAAAAAAGACCAAAAAAGTTTTTTTTAAACAGAAGATAAGTTAAAGGACACAGGGCACATAGGTTATGTTGACTTATGCCTGTAATCCCAGCATTTAGAGGCAGAAATAGGAAGATTATAAAACTGAGGCTAGCCTGGGCTACATGGTGAGATACTGTCTCAGAAAAAATCTATCTTCCAGGGCTGGAGAGATGGCTCAGCAGTCACTGATTGCACCCAGCACCTACATGGTGACTGAGAGCACTGATTGCACCCAGCACCCACATGGTGACTAACAATCATCTGTAACTCCAGTTCCAGGGGATCCGACACCCTCTTCTGATCACCTCAGGCACTACATGATACCAGTGCATTTACACACATGCAGGCAATACACTCATACATATAAAATAAAAATAGAATATTTAAAAAAAAATCTATCTTGCCGGGCGTGGTGGCACACTCCTTTAATCCCAGCACTTTCAAGGCAGAGGCAGGCAGATCTCTGTGAAGCTAGACTGGTTTACATAGAGAGTTCCAGGCCAGCCAGAGCTATGTCACGAGACCCTGTCAAAAAATCAAACAATAAAAGGGCTGGAGATATGGTTCAGCATCTAAGAATACTGGCTGCTCTTGCAGAGGAACCAGGTTCAGTTCCCAGTACTCACATGGCAGCTAACAACTGTCTATTACCCCAGTTCCAGGGGATCCCAAACCCTCTTCTGGCCTCTATGGCATTGCATGCACAGGTGTACTTACATACATTCAGGCAGAAGACACATAACAAAATAAAATAAAAACTATACTTAAAAAAAACTACCTTTATTTATTTTTATTTTGTGTGTGTCATGTTCTTGAGGTGCATACACATGTGTGTGTGCATATGCATGTGGCAGCCAGAGGTTGACAACAGGTGTCCTCCTGAAACACTCCCCACCTTATTTTTATTTTATTTATTCATTATTATTGTTGTTGCTGTTATGTGTGTGTTCACATTCATGTGTGTACAGATGAGCCTGTACCATAGCTCACGTGTGTGGAAGTCAGAGGATATCTTTGAGAGTTGGTTCTCTCCATCTGCCTTGAGTTCCAGGGATCGAACTTAGATTGTTGGGCTTCTATGGCAAGCACTTTTATCCACTGAGCCATCTTGAGTGCCTTTGCTTTACTGAGTTAAACTCTTTCTCTCTCTCTCTCTCTCTCTCTCTCTCTCTCTCTCTCTCTCCATAGTTTAAGCTGGCCTGAAACTCACTATGTAGCCAAAGCTGGCTTAGATATGACAACAATCCTCCTGCCTCAACCTCCCAGGTGCTGGGATTACAGGTATGAGCCAGCACGCCCAGCTGTGTTCTGTTTTGGGATCCACGTGCTGATCAGTGGGTATGCACAATCTGAAAGTTTGTCAAGCTGAGCATTGTATATTTCCATATTTCCTTCAATAAGCAGTAAATGTGGCTATGAATGGTGGCACATGCCTGTAATCTCAGCACGTGAGCAGCTGAGGTAGGACGATCCCAAGTTCAAGACCAGCCTGGGCTACATTAGAGCCCTGTCTTAAACAAACACCTTCAAAACAAAAACATAACCCCCAAAGAGCAACAGAAAAGACACAGATGACAAATGGATGGGTAGCACTCTAACCTGGTCCCCCAAATTCCTGGCCTGAGCACACACAAATTGTTCCCATCTTGTTATCCAAACACTAATCTGGATATAAGTTATGAAGTCAGTTGACTTGAAGACAGATTTTTGCCCCCCAGGAAAGCCTACTATAATCACATAAGTCCTTTAAACCTGGGTTTAGAAGTTAAAGATGGAATTAGAGATTCAGAGCATGAGAGAAAATTTTTTTGAAAAGGTCTCATATAGCCCAAGCTGGACTAGAATTTACTATTTATCAGAAAATAACCTTGTGGGGCTGGAGAGATGACTCAGCAGTTAAGAGCACTGGCTGTTTTTGCAAAGGATCAGGGTTTGGTTCCTAGCACCCACAGGGATGCAAACATTGTCCATAACTCCAGTTCCAGGGGGATCTGACACATAAATAAAAATTAATAAAATGTTGGGGCTGGAAAAATGGCTCAACCATTAAGAACACTGGCTGCTCTTGCAGAGGACCCAGGTTTGATTCTCAGTACCCACATGGTAGCTAACAACCGTCTATAACTCCAGTTCCAGAGGAATCCAAAGTCTTCTTCTGACCTTTGAGGGCCTTGCAAGACAGGGATGCACTTACATACATGCAGGCGATACACTCATACACATAATAAAATAAAATATTAAAAAATAAATAAATAAAAGAAAATCACCTTGAACTCCAGATTCTCTGGTCTCTGCTTCCCAAATGCTGAGATTATAGGTGTGTGCCACTCACCCAGGCAGAAAGCAGTCTGGTGTGAGCACCTCCAATGAGGTGAAAGCAGCCACTTGGCTGGGATGTAGGTGGTCTCTCAGAATTGAAAGCGACCCTTGTCTAACTGCCAGTGAGGAAATCCATCCTCAGTGCCTCACTGCACTGCCTCAAGGCAGCTGACAAATGAATTTTTTTCCAGACATTTCTCCTGGTGGGAAGCCTGCTGTCACAGGCCTTGTAAGAGCCGAGGCTCAGGGACCATAGCTCCCTCCCTCCCTCCCGACTTCAGCTTCACAGGGCTGGAAACTCATGATAGCTCCTGCTTTAAGCCATGCAAGAAGGATAATAAAGTAGCCTTTGAGGAAGTTGAGGGATACTCAGAGAAAAGGCCCCTGGTTTCCATTCCTATCCTGTGCCTCCTGACATGTTGGCTTAACCGGTAGGGAAATATGAGGGGCAGTTTTGCTCCTGGAAATGGTCTTCCCAGAGAGACTGGACCACGATCAGCTTGGAAGGCCGTCCATGTAGGACTGGTATTGACAACATGTTTGGGGAAAATATGGTGTATGAGAAATGGCTGACAAAGACAGAGGGTACCAAGGGGCAGACAAGTTCAGGATAGGAACAATGTGATTTATTATGGACCGGCACGCAGAAGTATGTCTTGGCATCCAAGGACAGGAAGAAGGGGTTTATAAGCTAAACTATGCCAAGGTGGACCCAGGCCAACTGAAATACACCTGGACTGTTTCAAAACCCATTAACATGTCAAATGTCAGTTAAGAAACAGTCCCGGTGCTCAGCCTCTGATGTGCCAGTGGCCAAGGATTTGTCCCTCATTCTCTGCTGAGGACCTGGGCATACAGCAGATTGCCATGGCTCTAGTGGCCACAGATGAACATCAGACCACCAGCTCTGCTGTCAGCTTGTGCAAGACCCTGGTGGCTGGCTGCGATCCTCTATCAGTGACAGTCTTGTGGGTGGCAGCCTCTTCCTGAGCCAGAAATAGGCTTACTGATGATGACCTTCCTGTTTATGCCTGGACTTGAGTGGAAGGGAAAGAGCTGGAGGTGGGCCTCCTTGATCCCAACTGTGGTGCTTTTTCTGGGGCAGTTGGTGTCAGGGAAGCCTCTTAGTGACCACAAGGAACCCTAGGAGATACCTCTGCTCTTACTGGGGAGTCTCCAACAGGAAGGGGACCCTTCTGACTTTGACCTTAGGACCCCATCTATATTCGCACTGGGCACTGTGTATATATTTGCCTTATTTTCTAGTTTTAAAAACTTAAAGCCAGGGCTGGAGAGATGGCTCAGTGGTTAAGAGCACTGACTGATCTTGCAGAGGACCTGGGTTTGATTCCCAGCACCCACATGGTGGTTACGAGCCATCCTTAACTCCAGTTCCAGGGGAATCCGAAGCCCTCTTCTGACCTCCATGGCATTGCACAACACGGGTGCACTCACATACATGCAGGCAATATACTCATACACATAAAATAAAAATAATTAAAAAAAAAACCAACAACAAAAAAACTAGAGCCAGTGTCTCTCACTGAGACACTTAGGGCGGGCAAAGAGGCCTCCCTGGAGGAAAGAGACTTTTCATCCTCTCTACCTTGTGTCCTACAGGGCTGCCTGTTGGGGTAGGGATAGAGGAAAGCAAAACCAAGTCTAATGCCCTCTGTAGCCCTGCCCAGTTGCCTCCTGGATGTGAAGAGTGGCCCTGTGGAGAGGGAACTGGGAATGAGGTGTCCCGGGACTTCTGAGCCTGTGCTTCCACATCGAGCTTTCATGCCTTTAAGACAGCCTGCCTGGAGCTGTCCTCTACAGGGCTGAGTGGGTGAAATCTTCCCTTCCACACTGTCCTCTTATGCTTCCAGGAAGCACCAAAGCTGGGACCAGCTTCCTCCTCAGTATGGCTCTCCTCTCGTAAGGTTAGAGATGCTGCAAGTGAGCTGTCTGTACTAAGAGGGGTGGGTTCCCTGTGACCTGACTGAGGAGCCTCATGTGAAGAGTCTCTCATACAGCTTTCAGAAATCAAGTTTCTACATTCCAATTTTGTATCTTTTCTCAAGTTATGCATTATATAACTGGATGCTTTTATTATAAAAAGTGCTCTGGAAAAAAACAAAAAGAAAAGAAAAAAAGAAACAGTCCCGGGTTAGGTGTGGTGGCACATGCCTTTAATCCTAGCAGAAGCAGGTGGATATCTGTGAGTTCAAAGCCAGCCTATTCTATGTATTGTTG